GGTTGAACTAGTTTGCAGTCCCACCAGCAGTGTAGGAGTGTTCCTATCTCTCCGCATCCACGCCAACATCTATTGTTTTGGAACATTTTGATAAAGGCTATTCTTACTGGAAATAAGTGATATCTCATTGTGGTTTTGATTTGCATTTCCCTGATGATTAGAGATGTTGAGCATTTTTTCATATGTTTGTTGGCCATTATTCTGTCTTCTTTTAAAAAAAATTCTGTTCATGTCCTTTGCCCACTTTTTGATAGGGTTATTTGATTTTTCCTTGCTGATTTTCCTGAGTTCTATAATTTCATTACTCTTCAATCTAGCTCTCATCTCTGGAAGACTGAGTAGTGATCATGTAACCCAGTAATTTCAAACTCTTTGTTAAATTAAGCTGCATTCTTTTTTGTTTTTGTTTTTTTTACCTTTTTTTTGACTCAGGCCTGGAAAATGGATTTTTTTTTTTTTTAAGCCATGTATAATAGAAAAAGGAGGAAGTTCCTGTACTGGGAACAGGGTCTTTTAAACACAATCTTCCCTGGATCTGCCTCCCTGTGCCACCCACTAACATAGCTTGACCTCTGTTCTTAAAATGGAAGAAAGATCACTACCAGAGAAGCACAGTGACTCAGACAGTAAAATAAGTAAGGCAGAAAGAGCTTTGACTGAAAGGAAAGTTCTCTTTAGCTTTGGCCCAAGGCCCTCTATGAAAGCCTTCAGGAAGTAAAAATTAGTGAAGAACTACATGTCCAAATCAAAAAAATATCTTCATGATAAAGAAGTTGCCAGTAATAAATGAATTAGATAATTTACGTATAGTACTCTTAAAGGGAAAGTTTTTTTTAGGAAATGTGACTCTTTTTTTCTGGATATGTGAGGCATGCCAAAGCTATTTCAGCAATTTTAGCTGGACTTGGGGAGAGAAAGACCTTTGCAGTCAGATCAGGCTTGCTTCATACATACTGTTTATTGTCAAATGGCCATGTCCCTAATTCCAAATACTATGTTGGTAATTTGGCTCATAAATTCATATTCATTGTATTTTTCTATATTGCAAGCTCCTTATCTCATAATCCAAATCGATACAGAAGGCTAGATTGACTAGCTTTTTACCAGTGGACTAAATAACATTAGGAGCCTTCCAGAATCTCAGTTGTATGAATTGACTTGATCTAGGGTAGGGTCCTTGTGGAAAGACAGACAACATACTGACCAAATGCATGCTCAAAACACTGAGCAACAATAAAAGACCCACAATTTACTGAGGAAATTCTATGTTCTTATACATCCTACTCAAGCATCAGTGAGATTATTATAGAGTGAAGGAAAGAGCTTTGAACCTGGAAAGATCTAGGCTCTGTCCTGAGTCTGTCAGGAACTAGCTAAATGGCCTTCATTGTCAACTGAACTGGCTGAAGCCAGTAAAGTTGACTTTTTCTTAGTTTTTTTCCTTGTGTCTTCACTTTTTTAAATTCAGGATATTATGGGGGTACAAACACTTTGTTTACATGAAATGCCAGGGCTACAAGTGTGTCTTTCCCCCATACAGTGTGCCCTATTTCCATTAGTTGTGGGTTTACCCCCCTACACCCCTACCTGACTGGCACCCAATAAGTATTACTACCACGTGACCACCTTAGTGTTGATCAGTTAGTACAAATTTGATGGTGAGTACATATTTCAATGACATAGGCAAATACTGACTACAAAGTGCCAAATTTTAAAAAATAATATAGAAAACTGTTGATATATTATACCTCAGCATCATAAAACAACTGATTATATGGAAAAAATTACCAGATGTAAATATTATTTTATTTCACAATGTTTACTAAGCACCCAGTAAGTGCTTGGTACTTAGGTATTAATAAAAGAGTGGAACAAACATACACCACAGCTCTTGCTTGTAAGGATGGTGGCAGGCCCCCTCCCTTCCCTAGATCAAAAAAGAAAAGGCTTATGAGACCAGATCCGCCAAGGACCTGCCAAGGATGACTGCCCTGCTGAAAACTACCACACCCTATAAGACAGTTTTGGCTCCTGGATTCCACAAATACCTCCAGCCCCTACTATTTCTCAATGACCACCAAAGGCCGCCCCAGCTCTTCCAGCCAAAAGTCCCTAGCCCACCCCAAACAGTATATAAGGCCTCACCCCCTTCAAACGGAGGCGACTTCTGTACCCCTCTCTCTTGGGATCCCAGAACCTCGTTCAGGATTGTATAATAAAGTCATGTGGTTTGGCCCCACTCTTTCTCTGTCTTTTCTTTTCGCTGCTGCTGAAAAACCTTACACTGCTCTCATAAGGCTGCACAGTGATGGCTGTCTTTGGATCATATTTTGAGTATTTGAGTGTTTTAAGCTCAAGTTTTACTGAAACTTTCAACATCTTACAATATGTTAGCATAATTTTTAATACAAAATGACTAATATCATGAAAACGATTTTCAAAGCGTAAAGTTGAGTGCAAAAAGCAGGATGTTGAAATCATGATACGACATTAATCTTGTTTAAAATGCACCTTTATGAACGAAAAACATCTAAGGAAATTTATCACAAAATATTATTAATAGTCATACTGGGTGACGGGACTGGATAAGATTAGTTTTCCTTATTACACTATCGATCTAATAAATTTTCTACAACGCGATTCAGTGACGTCTGCAATTAAAGAATACATTGGTAAAAGTCCATAAAACCTCATTAAAACGTGGAGAAAGAGAATGACAAAACCATTCAGAAAAACAAAAATACAAGTTGCTAGGGTAACTAGGCAGCTCCACAGGAGAAATGGCAATTTAAAAAGCAAAAGGGTTTTGTCCAATGGCAGAGAATTTTCGGGAGCCCCCTACCCCTCAAAGCAGCAAATCCAGCCCCAGGACCTGTTAGGCGCAGACAACAGAGGAACCAATCTTTTCTCTAGAAAAAGGTTCCTCAGCGCTTTTTCAAGCACGAACGGCGGGGTGAGAGGCAGGCAGGACCGCTCCACGGCGCAGCCCTGCCATCTGCAGGCCAGGGAGACCGAGCGCCACCAATCCCAGAAGAAAATCCATCTTTTTCGCTGCTTTTCTGCCCAGAGCCGGAAGATCTTGGCTTAGGGAAGCCCAGCAGGATGAACAGGAGAACCAGAAAATGAACCGGTACCAGCCGGAATGGCCCCAGCGAACAGACTCCTCCATGGACTTCTTTCCCGAATCCGCCCTCAGAACCATGGCAACAGCAGCAGGAAGTCCCAGCGCCACCGGAAAGACGCTACCCACAGCCGGGGCTGGCCTAGGATTGGCGGGTTCTGGGCCTGCGCGTCAGAGCCAACTGAGGTTAGTGCCAGTCTTGCTCCGGCTGCGCGTCTGGAGGTTTTCCTTCCCAGCTCTGTTGCGAGCTGTCAGCTAAGGAAAGGGACGGTTGATTTCCAGTACCTGAGGCGCGACTGCTCCAGTCACCCCGCCGCTCCACGTTCCAGACCTGTACGAACCCCCTGTCATTCTCCTTCCGCCTCTCCCGTGGCTCACTCACGGTCTTCCTCTCAGCCCTCTGTCCTCTGATCCTTCCTGGTGACCTCAGCGCCCACGAGGCTGGCCAGGCCACCAGTGGACTGCTGCGTGCTCAGGGATCTTCTGCTCCCTAACTGAGCATCCTCGATCCGTGCTCATGCCCTGGGCCTCAGGGAAGACCGCAGCCCTCCGTGGTGTCCATTTCTTGCGTCCCCCTCTCTCATCCCCAGCAGCACGACCTCCTTCCCTTCCAGCTCCCTCCCCACAATGGCCCAGCCTTCAGCCCAGGGAGGCCGCCAGTCTACTGACCACATCTGCAACCGCCTTCCTCACCATCCACCAGGCCCTCCTTACCCAGCTTACCCAAAGCTATAAACTCTGCCCTCAGAGGCATCTCTCCTTCTCCTTTTTCCCCTCCTGGCAATAATACCCCTAAATGGGCAAACTCTCCGCACCCTCCACATTTGTATCTGCCGTCTGGTTTACTTACTCGAGCTCTCCACAAGCGCCAGCATCCAATCTTCTCATGATAGTCACCGATATTCCTTTGAGAAAACAGAAGTGATCAGAGAGGAACTCTCAGCACTTGCCAGCGACACTGGATCTGCACTTGTCATCTCTGCTGCCCCTCTGGGGAAAGGGACCTGACCTTACTTGAGGCCAGGCCCTTTACCTGGATCCTATGCCTTTCTACTTTCTTAAAGAATTGCCTTTTGCAGTTGAAAGGTGGTCTCACTACCTAACAGAGGAAAATAAACTATCAAACAGAAAGTAAGGGAAATAAACTCACAATTACCCTTTGTTTAATTAAACACATGTGGCCTAACTTGTTATCTCTAAGTTCTTTCTCAGCCTTGAAAAAGTTCCTGAGAGGACAGTAGGCGTAGGAACGTCCTCTGCTTGCTCAAGAAGAGACAGTACCAGATGCCCCCCGCTATCAAGAAGAAAGAAAAAACTAAGAAAAAACTGCTATCTGTCTGCTAAGTGAGAAACAGAAAAAAGCCAGACGGCAGCTTCACAGCCACTTTCTCTCTCTCTCTCCTCTCTCTTTATTTCTCTCTTGGGAAGGTAAATAAACTTTTACTTCTATATATCCTAATTACTGTCTGAGAATTCTTTCTCTTCCCCCTACTACATATGGACTTTACACCGTAACAGCAGTGATAATTTCTCCTGAATTATGTTCTCCATCTGTATTGTATTATTCCATCATCTATAAAGTTGGCACAGGACTGCTGGAGTTAATGCTGGTCTTGGCTCTTGCTGTGAAGTAGGTGATACCACAGGGGGCTGCATTTCCTGAGGGAAGAATGTGGAAAGTGGCTGATTCAAGAGCTAAGGATTCTACCATGAAGGAAGCCAAACCCAGCCAGGGGCTAGGTGATCCTGCAGCTAAAGTTGTGGGAGGGCCAGTCCTGGATAGGGAACTTTTGAACTTTCATGCTTGTCTCTGCATTGTCCAGTTTTAGTAAGAATCCTGCTAAGTCAGTTTAGTGAGAATTCCCTATCCATATCTCATTAGGCCCTTGTCTCCTAGCTGAGGTCTGACCACCTTGGCCTGCCTTTAGCAGTAATCCTGTTCAATTTTGCCAGAATCCCCCTTACCCTTGGTGTTTCCTCTTAGTAATTTTCCATTCACGGATCCCTATTCTGCTCCTTGACTATAAATTCCTACTGTTACTTGTATTTGGAGTGGATCCCAATCTCCCCACACTACAAAACCCCATTGCAATGGTCCCTACAACTATCTCAATGGTTCTGACAAAAGTCTGACTTACACTAATTTAACAAGTGTCATGAGTAATTTTTCCTTAACACTCTTCACCTGGATCCCATGCCCTTCCACATTCTCAAGGAGTAGGCTTTTGCAGTGATCATTCCTTTTACTTGAATAATCACATTCTTCATGTCTACTGTAGCATGCTATCATCTAAAAAGTGGGCAGGGAAATAGTTAGAATTGAAATATTTTGCTTTCTGGAGCTATTTTGGTTACTTCTGTGTTGTAGGTGAGACCCCAGAGGTCTACATTCTCAAGGGTGGGGTGTTGAAAGTGGCTGATTCAAGAGCCAGGAGTTCTACCTTGAAGCAAGCCCAATCCACCTAGGGAATAGATGACCCTGCAGTTGAGGCTGTGGAGTAGATAGCCCTAGACAAAGGCTGGATAAAGGATGAGACCCAGACTCAGAAGAGTCTGCAGGTGCCTTCACAGATGAGCTAAGTTTGAGTCAGCCAAGGAGCATCAGATTCTGACCAAAATGAGAGAGATAAAAATGTATATATACCAGTTTTGTACATGGGGGAGCATGTCACCATCAGAAGTAGGACCTGGGAGACAAAAGTTATCACCTTCCAAAAACCATCCAGGACACTACAATCAACATAAGATGTCATAGACCTCCTGTCCCCACCATGATGGAGACCCCATCTCTACCTTGGAAAGGAGTATGGAGGTGGGGTGGAAATCTGAGAGACTGATCATTTTCGCCAGATTGAGTATTTATACAAATGGACCATACACATGATTGCATCAGATTTTTTTAAAAATCCAGTGTTTTTTCCTGTACTATTAAGGGTAGACAGTCATGATGAAGACCAGATCAGTCCGAGTGAATAAATGAACCAAATACCTGTGAGGTCTGAGGGGCACGAGTGACTGTGTGGTCTCTGCACACCACCTCCTCTGGCACCTCTGCCCATCGTCTTATCAGTCCATGTTAGAGGGGGATTGGGGCAGCAGTCTCTGGGTTGATGGGTTGGCAGTTCTCTCCAGCAGCTCCGGAGCCCACCAGTGGTCCAAGATGCAAGAGAGGGAAATTTAAACTGCTCCTCCTACATTTTTTGCTGGTGTCCAAGCCTCTCTGGGCTTAATCCCTGCTGATGCCTTTCTCCTTCCAATTCAGCTCTGTAACCTCATCCCCTAGAATCTCCTGTAGGTTCAGGTACCCTTCCTTCTGACCCTCATTCTATCTGTAGTTGTCTGGTTTTTTTTTGTTTGTTTTTTTTTTCTTTTTCATCTATAATTTCTCCTTATTGTAGAGATGCTCTGGCTAGAGGTGTTTCTCATCTGCCATCTTGCCTCTCCTATTGTTGATTGTATTTTATTTCTTTTTAGGGACCAGGTCTCACTCAGTTGCTGGAATGCAGTGACACAATCTTAGCTCACTGTAACCTGAAACGCCTGGGCTCAGATCATCCTCTTGCCTCAGCCTCATGAGTCAATGGACACATTTCTATCCTTATCATAATCAACCATTAAGTGGGTTTCATCCACTTGCCCATCCCTTCTTTTCCAAATATATTTTTATTTTTGGATTTGTGATTATGTACACTACTTGTGTTCTCCTACCACACTCCCTGCCATCCTGAGTGTTCTTTGCTTGCTCCACTTCTTTCCAGGACTTTTAAATGGGCCCCCTTCATTTGCTCTTCTTTCTCCAAGAGTGATTTCATTAGAGCGTCTCTTGTCTTAATGTGGAATATCTATACTAAGTCCTTCCAAATTTACATATTGAGCATCATTCCCTCCTCTGAGGGCCAGACTTGTCTAACTTACTTGACTGCCCTGCTTGAATGACCTAACATATCTGAAAGAGAACTGTTGGGTGTGTTGCATATTGTGTGTTCTTCACTAATATCCATCAACAGGTCCTCTCGATTCTATCCTCAAAATATATCCTGAGTACAACTGCCATTATAAAATCCCATGCCACTCATCCATCTTTTCTTGCCTTAATTACTATATCTTATTTTTCCTCCTTCAACTCTTATCCTTCTAAAACCTATTGTGCACAAGGTAGCCATGCTGATTTTTAGCATGTTAAGTTATTTCAGGACTTGTTGAAATTCTACAAAGATTTCCCACTTTACTTTGAATAAAATCCATTCTACTTAGCATGGCCTACAAAACTCTATAGTATGTGGTTTCTACCTACCTCTCCAGCCTCATGTTCAACATCACTCACTCAGTATAATCTAGTCACACTGGTCTTTGTTCCTTCCTTGATCATTCCAGACTTGGTTCCTTCATAAGGCTTTTAAATTTTCTGTTTTTCAGATGTCTTGTTCTATCATTGCTACTTTCAAATTTTATTTTTTACTTTGGTTTTCAGCCATCTGACCACAAAGTGTCAAGTTCTGCTTCTCTATGTGTTTCTCCTGCTTGGGGTTTGCTTAGCTTCTTTGATCTGTAAATTAACCCCTTTACCAAATTTGGGAAATTTTTGGCCATTATTTTTTTCAAAAATTTCCTCACCCCTTCTGTTTCTCTTCTTACTATATTACAATTACTTATATGTTGGGATGCTTGATATTTTTTCCCCAGTTCTCTGTGGTACTCTTACTATTTTACTACAGCATTCTGTTAATTTTTGTTCACTGTTTTTTGTTGATTCTTGAGATTGCATAATTTCTATTGACCTATATTTAAGTTTCATGATTATTTCTTTTGCTATATCAGTTATACTCCTCAGCCCATCTAGTGACTTTTTATTTCAATTATTACACTGTTCTGCTTCATGATTATGATTTGTTTTTCTATTATAGTTTTTATAGTTTTGTATACAGTTTTTCTATTATAGTTTTCATTTCTCTGTGGAGGTTTCCTATTTGACACATTTCGTAGCACATTCTAGCATATTTTCCTTTAATTTATTGAAGATTTATTTCTTAAATTATTTGGGTATGTTTACAATAGTTGCGTTGAAGTGTCTTTATGTGCTAAATTCAACATCTGGTGTCACAAAGACTCATATTCTAGTGACTCTGTTCTTTAGAATGGGTTGTACTTTTTTGGGTTTTTTTTCATGCCTAGTATATTTTGATTGAATAATGTACCTTATAGATAGTATGCTGTAGCGACCGATTCAGCTTTGGCTTTCTGGATGTTGTTTGCGTTTTTGTTTTGTCTCAGTTGATAATTGTTGTGGCCTCAGACTGCTAAAACTGTCTTCCCTGTGGTGTGTAGGCAATTATGTTTCTGCTCAGTCTTTTTTTCAGTCTGGAACCCTGGGGTCTCCCTCTCATCTCTATAGTTTTTTAGTCAGCCAATGATTTGGGGAGAGTTTATCTTTAGACACCTCAAGCTTAGGATTGTGAAATAAAGTACAAGAAGCTCAATCAAATTTGGATTTCAGATAAACAAGGAATTTTAGTATATCTGAAATTCAAACTTAATTCGTCATCCTGTGTTTCATTTGCTAAATCTGACAACCCTACTCAAGCCAGTAAGGCCACCTCTCTCTGCCACCCAAGCTGTGTGAGGCTTGAGGAATGCATTCAAAGGTGCAATAACTTCATAAATCTTCCCAGACTTTCAATTTTTCCTGGTTCACTAGGGTGTCCTCCTGCATTCATAGTTTAGCAGTCAGACTGAAGGTATAGAAAGTTTAATATCTCAGCCCTTTTTTGACTCTTCACTTCCAATCTCTCCCTGTAAAACTTCTACCTGGCCTGCTGACATTCCCATACTGAGTCTACTATTTTCACACAGAAAAGCTAAAGATGTTCACCATCTGAGCTGAATAGTAGCCTTCTTACCAGATGCAGTAGCAGTTTTATATAAGGAAATACTTCTCAAGTTATTGTCTGTCAGTACCATGAAGTGGTTGTTTGCAATAATTTTATCCAGTTTCCCCTTTGTATTCTGTGGAAGTGAATTGTCCAAACTCCTCACAACACCATCACTGGAAGAAGAATCCCACAGGGTCTATTTTTAAAGACAAACAGAAAGTCCAACTAAATGAGTCAACAAATGCTAACTG